GTTTTAGCGCTGCCCCGCAATATTATCAATAAAATAGCTTAATCGCTGAAGAGCTACATTATCTTTCTCAAGGAGCTGGTAACATCATTGTATGTAAAGGAATTAAAGCCACAGCTTCACTGTTAATAGAGTAACATGGCAAAACGGTGGTAATTCATACATACACAGCCTCTCTCTCTCTCTCATATAAATGAACACTTGATAAATCACACTTTTCTGATAATATAATATTGAAGTGGAGATCGCTAAACTGCAAGTTAACCGGTGTTTTCAGAAAGCAAGCGCGTTTATCCTCAGTGGACAGAGTGCGCACACACATGGTTGCCAGGTTGACAAAGATAATTAACACATTTAGCATATATTTCCGTATTGCTCAAGTGGGAAGCTCTGTTTCAGGGATTACATCTTTTCATATCAGGCAACCCCGGTTGTGTTCTTCTGCGGCCAGATCAAACCTCGTTGTAGCCTATATATTATGCTCTATTCATTATTTTTTAGAAACCTTGCACTTTTCTACTCCGTTTTAAACTGTGTTCTTGTATTCAAATTTAGCGCGGTTCACTGCAGCGCACATGCCAGCTGTATCGATACTTGTATCGTCAGATCTCTGTGACAATACATCGTCATATCGATGTATCGAACACAGCACTAGAATTATCTAGCTTGCGTGGGTTGTGAGTCGGCATGACTCCAGCAAGGATGAATCTAATGTTCTGAAGAGTATGTGTGGCAGTCAGTCGCCGCACCGGTGTGGATATTTACTGTACTTCGCAATCGCAGATTCTTGCCTACATCTTGGAATATGACCCAAATAAGAACTTTCACCATATATTGCCATCTGAACAAGTAACAAGTCTGCCACGTTTGTTCTGACCAACTGAGGAAAAAAGCCTTACCATAAATCTCGCTACCAATGGTGATTAAATCTAAAGATCGGTTAGCTCATATCACATCAAACCGTTCAAATTATTATTATACTTTATTCTCAAATGATTAATGTTAACAACATCAGCATTGGTGATTGAGTATAGTGTGTATTAGCATGAAGATTTCAATTTCTGCACAGTCTAATCTAATTGTCATACTCTTCCAATTTCATATTAAGAAATTCTTTTAACCCAAAAAGTAAATTATGCTCCCTTCGAACTGGTTCTCTTTAAAATACTAATCTTTGTAACCCCAGGCTACCTGTAATCAGAAGCACATTTATAACGAATATAATTTCATTCACACGTGTTTCATAAACACATAATCCTTTATGGATTACAATCCGCCATCAAAATGATACATTTATTTATTCCAGCTGCTGTAAGAAAAGGCTATAAACGATCCGCCACCTGCAGAATCCTTTGCATGTGACGATCCTGCAGGTGGCGGATCATTTATCGTTATCCTAGTAGCCGGGACAACTTCTTTATGTTTACAGACGTGATGTAATGACACAGTGCCAAGCTCGAATTTCCTGCGAAAACCTACCCGTACCACTCAAATTAGAAAACATTATTATAAGCGAACCGTTGTGAATCGGGCTAAAGTAAGGCGATAGTTTTGAACACTGGCTGGTTATGTACTTGCACAAATATTGATTTTGGATCATTTTTAACCAAAAAAAGTTACGGACTGCAGCTTTAATGAAAGGTTTAAAAATAAATATATATAAATATATAAAATAGTAATAATCACACCTGACTATAGATCCTTCCTGCCATTTCTTTACTAGCCTGAAGAGTTTGAAAATGTGTGTTCCAGATGCAAAGGTAATCTATGGATGACAACAACTCAATGATCATTGCACCAATCAGATACAGAGTGATAAAAGAGGGAAGGGGGTGGAGGGAAGTAAAAAAAAAACAAAAAAAAAGTAACAATCACAATGTCATTCATGAGTAGGGGTGTGCAATAGTCTGTGTCTGTGAAAGTCTTATATTGCACTAGCTCACATTTGTTAATATGTTATTAATTCATATAGTATATCATTAGTAAGCAACAATTAATGGGGGAAAACAATAAAACCGAAACACTGAATTCAAAACACTCTCTTTGGGGGGGAAAACAAGGGAACATTAAAGCTACTTTTTTGTTGACTGCAGATATATAAACAAACATCAAATTAGGAAAGACGGTTGGCACATGATGGATTTTCAAAAGTACATTATAAGTAGGCCTGGGCGATAAAACTGTATTGGTATTTATCGACGGTACACCATCAAAGAAACAGTAAAAGAAAAATGTTCGATATAGTAGGCCTGGGTGATAAAACGGCATCGATATTTATCGACGGTACACCTTCGATTACGATATAACATTTTTCCGATATAGTGCACGATATAGGTACGTGCTATGAGTGCACACACAGCACACACAAACACGAACACATGCTGAATTGAGTGCTGTGCCTGCCTGTGATGAGATTGTTGGTTTTTTTAATAGACATTTATTTCCTTGCATTGAAAATTTAAATGTGCTGCATTTTTTTGCTCATTGCGCCCTCCTGTGGCCTCGGGAGACAAGCCAGAAGTTTCCTTAAGACCCATTTAATCTGCACATAAAACATTAGAAATTAGATATTAGTTTAATTTTGATTGTGTTTGACTCACCCAGCCCTACGATATAGCACACAATAGTTTCACACTTTTTTCATTTAAAAGCACATTATGACAGCCAAGCAGACAGAACACTCAAAAATATGCTGAAACGAGTGCCGTGCCTGCCTGCGTTGAGACTGTGAATCAAAAAAAGGAATTAGTCTAATTTAAAATAAAAATTTGCATTCTAATGCAAAAACAGTGTATTTAAATTTTAGGTGTGTGTCAAGGAGCCTTATCAGTGGCACATGAGATGCGGTGGTGATGTAAGTGTCGTTGTTGCATTTTAATGTTTTTGTTAGTCTATTCAGTTGAACCCACAAGATGCGCCGCTGCTACGTTTACCATTCAAAATTAAGAGAAATCTAGTAGCTCAATAAAAAAAAAAAAAGATACTGTTTAGGTTAAAACCGAAAACAAGCCATTCACACAACGCATTTTTAGCGCATTTTTGAGAGACACAACTATGACTGTTGCACTCGCGTCTCGCACAAGAGATGAATAGAAAGCCATGTAACGTTAAAGAAGGTTCAACTTTTAGAGAACATGTCTCGAGAATTTGTGGGGGTTTTATTCCATTCCACTGTCTCTCATATGTTTTTAAATGCAATCGTGTGATCGGCGCTTTGGCTATTTGTATTAAGCTATGCATAAATACACAATGCTGTTTTGTTCATAACGGTTTATGCAATTTACGAAATCATTTAATTTATAAATATTAGTTTAGACGTTATATAATTTTTTTTTAATAGACGGCCGTTATTTTATTGCATTGAATAAACAGTTGAATGAGGTGCATTATTCTGCTCATTGCACCCTCCTGTGGTCTCGGGAGACAGGCCAAATGTTTACTTAAGACTTAGGTAAGTGATAAAACGTCTTATTTTTGGATAAACTATTTTATTCACAATATAATCTCTCTTAAAATACCTTATAGGGTTATGATAAACAAAACAGTCCTGAGCTAGATTAAGCTTTGAGCTATGCAAAGCAAACCATTACTTTAATGAAATAAAAAAAACTTTCCCAGTAATAAAAATATTTTATAATTAGCTAGCTCCTCACTGGAGAGCTGCTTTATAACAGAAAATAAAGTTGTAATTCTAACTGAAAGCGACACTGACTCTGGTTTTTCATGTTTAATACTGTAATGCTGATTGATTTAAGGTTATCTATTGCATAAAGTACTATATAAATAAACATAAGGTGACTGGACTTTACTGGGGTACCGAACTGCAGAGCTCGTGCAACATCCACATCACTGTAATCAGATGCATTTTTACCTGCTGCTTTCTCACCACTGTCAGTTTTTGTTGTGTTTATTTCATTATTGAGAGGAAAGCGCAAAGCATATATTTACATATTCATCCAAACGCCGCTCAGCTTTTTTACCCTTCGCCTGAGTTTGCTCTGAATTGAAGCACTGTCTTCTTCTCTTGAATTGCATCCAGGAGAGCTGAATTACAGTCTGGTCAACCGCATTATTGCAGGTTCTTACATTAGGTCATATGAGATCATATGACTACTGGACAACAAAAATATTTGTCGACTTTTTTTTTGTCAACGTTGTCGATAATGTCGACTTTTCATTTCAGCCCTACTTATTTCATTTGCATATAAAAAAATAAGAAAGGATATTTTTCCATTTTATTTTGTGATTGACTTAAAAATAAAATTAGTTGTTGTTTGACTCAATAAATTGGGTAAATTAAAATACAGTGGTTACATTTAAATCTTTTTTTCTACTGCTCGGTTTAAAAAAAGGTTATAAAAAAAATTCAATAATTTATCAATATCGAATCATGAAATATTATATCGTGATAATTTTTTTAGCTATATCGCCCAGCCTGAATTATAAGTGACCCAAACTCACAGACCTTGCAGAGATTTAGTTTGTATAGAGAAGTATTTACTACAAAATTAGCTGCTCAGAGACTGAAGACACAAGGTCATGAGCTGCTCATTTTAAAAGAACACAGTGGCACACTTCACGCATTAGATTATATAATTAAATCACAGCCTTTGCAATTTGCAAAAATTACACTAAGCCATATCACAACCTTGCATTGTTACAATTGATATCTATCAAGATTTTTTTTTTTTGGGGATAATGTCAGCTTGCATATTGTTAAAACAATAGAATGAAGAGTTCATTTGCAAAAACCAATAACACTTTAAAAAAAGAGCTGATTATTATTCTCCACATATAGCGCGATCTGAGCCCTAAACACGTTTTGTCAAAAAAGCCGGTTTCGTCCACTTTCAAGGCATCGCGAGTTCACGTTTTACTGCAGAAGCCGACAAGCACCCTAGTTGTTTAACAGAAGCCGATAGTCCATTTTAGCAAATCAGCGCGCTGTATTCAGGTCAGATGACAAGGCTACTTTCACTTTGAAAAGATGTGCTAGCTGAGAGGAGTTTCATCAAAGCTGACAAAGTGATCGAGGATGAATAACTTCGACGAACTTGAGGAATCCGTGATATCTTCTTAAGGGCGAAAAAGGAAAATAAAAGCTGAAACGTTTTCACGGAACCTTGCAAAAGCAGCGCGTTACAATGGTGAGGGAAAAGCTCTGTGTATTGCGTGTAATCACATTCATACAGTTTATGATTACAACAACAACAACAACGTTTGTCAGGCATCTACATTGCCATATGAGGAGATTACAAAGATTAAACTAGTGTTTTTTTTTTTTACTCTAAAACATGAAATGTGGAGTTATCGGCTGTTGCCAAAAAATGACTGTTGGAGTTATCTGCTTTTGCTATAAAACAAACTTTTAATATGTAAAAACACTTTCAATGAACTTTAATTTAGTAAATTACCTGTATTTGCGTAAGTTATTATTACTTAATAAAAACAACCCAACTGCAGTTTGATTGATATTACTTGGAATGCGCAATAAAAAAAAAAACGTGATTTCTGGAAAAAAATTTAAAATGGAGTTCTCGGTTTTTGCAAATGAACCATTCATATATATTGTCTGCAATAATACTGCACACCGCTAGTGAAGAGAATGGATTATTATATTTGAAGATGAAGAATCACCTTTACAAGCTCCAGCAGAGGGGTGGGGGAATCCAACCACAGCTACATGAGCCTCATCAAGCACAACAGCAGCACCAGACATCAGTTTTTCTTCCCCAAGAGGAAGACTGAGACATAAGGAGCGAGATAGGGCCTGGACACCTTCAGCTCCTGTAGATGAACTTCTGAATGGCAACACACTCTCATACACACTGCCATTCAAATCTGAAATAATGTAGAGTTGGGTTGCTAGTAGTACAAAACTGTCATTTGGGTCAGATGATAAAATGAATAGAGACTTACATAAGTACAAAAGGTGTATGTTACTACCCCTGCATGTGGCAGAGAAGCTAATAGGTGCAGAGAGACCAGGTTCAGTCTCAAATCTGTGTTTCACAAGAGTGTTGGGGTTAAATCTCTGAACATACAGGCAGTGTTCTCCTCTCTAAATATATATATAAAAAAGAAACAATTTAGAGCTTATTTAATATGTTCCATTCATTATGCACTGACAGAACAAAGATCCACAAAGATTCAAAGAGACATCAGAAAAAAAACCTGTTCTGTGCTGAACAAAATGACAAGCTGGTGCTCTGCCTTAACGATAGTGCTCCACCTGTGAAAGGGATTAAACAAGAAACTTACACTTAATTTAAACAGGTCTTGACTTAAATGAGCACTGAACATCAAGTAGTGAGCTAATGCAGTATTAAAATCGTTTGCATTAGCTTCAAAACAATATACTGCACAAACCATGGTGCTGTTGCAAGTGAACCCATATTTAAAACTGCAAATAAATACGTGTTCAAAATTGTGTTTGTGTCTTACCCCGATTCACTATGGTAAGTCTTCAAATTGTTTAAATTGAGCCCTCAGAACAAACTTGAAAGGAAACTAGAGATCGACCGATATTGATTTTTTATAACCGATACCAATTATTTGCATGTTTATGTGTCCGATAACCAATATGCAGAACCGATATTTACTGTTATAAAGTAAATAAATGACTGCGTGAAGTAAGAACATACTTCACTTTGGTTTTTCCTCTTTTCAGTCATTTTTGTTTTGTTTTTCAAGTGTAGAAAATTAGCAGTCTTCCATGTTAAATTTAATCTTTATATTACAACTATAAAAAACATTTATAAAAAGCATCAACAGCAACAACACTAATATTAACAATAAGCAAAATAAATGTAGAATGTCTAATGTTTTCAAATGGAGAAAATAAATAAAGGACAGGAGTCATATCAACTTCATTTTAAACAACAGTTTTAGTAGGTTTATACGCTGTTTAATTGCTACAGAGTCAATAATAATTCACTGGATAATGTTAATTCACTGAATAATGTTCTCTGGAATATTGGAATATAACAAACAAAACATTGTATTTTATTGCACTTCTCAACTGGAATGTTATATCAGAATAAATATTAATAATGTTTTAGTCCTTCTAGATTATGAAATGCCTGCTGACAGCACGGTTTATCTATGCAGTTACACAGAACTATACTCAAACTGTGATAGCTCGCGGAGATAATAAATAATTTCCATAGAGTTTGTTAGCGAAATAATGGTTATACAGGGTTTTTGCAGACTTAAATTCAAGACCTTTTTAATACCACCTTATATGAAATTTAAGACCTAAACCTGTAATGGAAATACACATTACATACATATATGTAATATTTAATGTGTATAAATTAAAAATAAAATAAAATATCAATGCTGTAATAAATGGTATTTATTACTATGATATACAGTGAACTTTTCATGTCAGCAGACAATATTCCATACAAAACATCCCCACAAAATAACCGCATCACTTCGATTTTTGGTGGAGTAAACAATTTATTCTGAAGCAATATTTGTTCTATCAGCTTTTACATACTTAAATCTGCATATTTACCTTTACAAAGGTCTATTTTTTTAACCTTTTTAGATGTATGCATCATCTTACATGTCAAATTACAATTTATCAATAAATTCAATATACACTATAGGGCTGCTACCAGTCAGATTAAATAATTTACACCGCAAATAACAATAATTACAACTGCAATAAATATTGTTATGAGATTAATGTTTTAAATGCATTTATGAATATACAAATAAGAAATGTTGAGGGGAAAACTGCATACTTTAACATACTTCTCAACTGAACTACCAGAAAGTGACGGTAAGTCACTTAATGAGTGAGTATTGAGTCATTCATTCAACTGATTGAGTGTGTTATCATGCTGCTATCTAAAAGGACTTTCGTGGACAGCCAACTCCTAAAATTTTTGATATTCTTCATATTCTGTGTGGTGGTCAGATAAGTTTAAATAGATTTTTACCTTTTATGGGCATTTTACCTTTATAAAGCCATTTTTCTATAAG